GAAGCTCCTCTTCAAGTCAGGGTTAAGCTAGGCACGGAAAGACAAAAGCCGCATAACCTCATGATATGTGGGATCTAAAAGCGTTGAACTCACAGTAGCAGAGAGAATGGTGGTTCCTAGAGGGTGGAGGTGGGGAGGAGGTGGTCAAAGGATACAGAGTGACGATGGTTGTGAAGCCCATTGTATACAGTGGTGACTACAGTCCATAGCACTGTTCTGTATTCTGGAAACTAGCTTTAGGGTAGATTTTAAGTGTTCTCATTACAAAAACGGTAACTGGAAAGTACATGAGGTAATGCACCTGCCACTGCACTTGATGTTGTCATTTGCCATATGCACATTTCAGAACACTTGTACATGTGAAATGCATATAGTTTGTTGTCATTTAAAAGTATGCTTAAAAATTAGGCAATCTTGCTAGCTGATATTAACAACACAATAGCTATCACTTATTAAAGGAGGAATCTATGGTGATAGTTTGTAGACATAAGTATTTTAATTTTCACAAATACAAGAAGTACATGCCTGTGTTGCTGACAGTGAATCTGATCCTTACGGGGATGAAGTCATTCAGTTGATAATGACAAAGTTGAGATTTACCCTGGTCTGTCACCCTTGTGATGGGAAGTTCCCCACAGATCCACATGGTCCCCTGCAGAAGAGAGAGGACCCTTTCTGCTGGGGCAGCACTGACCTGCTGCTATGGCAACACGGAACTGGAAAAGGCAGTGGCACCTTCAGCAGCTCCTGTGTCCTCTCAGCTCATCAGGTGAACCCTCTACAGGGTTCCATTTGTGCTTCAGTGTCACCCCTCAGCGGGGAGGACCAAGGAGCTCCTGAGGGTGCCTGAGGCCTTCAGATCATGCCTTACCTCAGCTGCTACTGCGGTATGCAAAATAAATGGTTGTATTTGGTAACCCCCAACCTGAAGAAATTTTTTTATAGCACCAAGGAGTGGTGCATATCCCACCCTTGCCCAAACCTCTCCTCAGCTGGCAAAGCTTACCTTCTTGAAAACCCAGAGCCAGGTCCCAGGGACGCTGCACAGCAGGAGCACAGCCAGTGAGGATGTTCCTGGGTGTCCAGAGCTTTTAAAGCTGCCGGGAGGGTGTGGGGCTGGTGTGTGTCAGGCTGGTTTGGAGGCTTGCAGGGGGCAGAAGCCAGAAGGAGGACTTTGCACCAGGCACTGTGTTCTGCCCCAGCTGGAGGCTGACTTTCTCCTCCAGGTGCAAATCCCATCCCAGCACTGTTGTCTGGGGCCATCACAGAGTTGGCTGGTCTCTGCTCCCCTTCTGCAGCCAGACACTAACGGTGTGAAAGGCCTAACAGAAGTGAATAAAATTAATCATCCAACATGATAGGCTTTGATGAGAGCTATTGCATCAGGGCTTTCTAAGTCTAGCTCCTTGGAGGGGAACTTGAAGGATTATTTCAGCCTCTCCCCTCTGACACTTGTCCAAGACACATGGTACTGTCCCTTCCCCCAACCCATTAGCACTGGAGGAGGGGAAAAGCCATTGTAGGGAAATACAAGGCCTGTAACAAAACCGTAATCCCCCATTTCCCACTGTGTGTGTGGCTCCGGAGTAAGAATGTTGGAGTTGTTGAGACACAGTATGACACACCTGTGGCTGTCAGTTTGCATGTGGAGGGAAGAACATATCGTCCAGAGCTTCTGACCTGTGTCCATCACCTGGGGCTTAATTTAATTAAATTTCCATTTTTTTTTTTGAGTTTATCTACTTGCTGATTTTACTCTGCTATCTAGAAACAATACCACTTACTATCCTGTGTTTAAGTAAATATTTTTATAGAATTCATTACTAAAATTTTTTGTATCTGTCTCTCCTCCATTTGCCATGACCCCTAGACACCATTCCTGAAGTATAATTTTTATTCTACTTTGGGGAAAAAATCATGATATCTCTTCGTAAAATTTTGTACCTAATATCGAAGCATTGGAACATAGCCTTTCAGAGTAGGGCTTTTGCAGCTGTGTGGCTGGGTTCACTATTCTTTGGCAAGTTGGTTATAAGGGTCACACAACCCAATGTGCTTCAAGCATTCAGAACAGTGTCCAGAGGAAGGACGCCCTGGATGTGCTGGTTAATGTGTATACTTTGAGTTGCTTAGCTGATGATCACTGAGAGACAAAATGAGGTTTGTTTGTGAAAACTCCTGGGGGAGGAGCAGAATCAAAGTAGCTTCTTAATATCTGCCCTTCTGAATGCCTTACTCTGATGGTTCTGGCCATGAACGGTGACCACAGGCCTTTTTTAGAGGGTGGGTGTATTAAAACCGGGGAAAATGTCGGTGTAAAAAAGAGAGCTATTAATTGCATAGACAGTTGACGTTCATGGTGTAAAGTGGGACTGCTCCAGATAGCAGGAGAGTGAGTCCTGGTAAAAACTGGGACAGAAGTTAACTCTATCATGGCAGGACTGAGGCCAAGAACAATTTTGATAACTGGGTGAGGGGCTCAGGTAGGGAGGACTGAGAGGTGTTATTGGGTAGAATTGAGAATTGGTTCCGGGGAAGGGGAGACTGGAGGTGTCTTTGGATAGGATCCCCTTGCCTTGAAGAGGGTCGACAGTTGTCATGAAAGCACTCCACATGCACCACTACTGTGTCCCGTTGCCTCTTAGAGGAAGGACCCACGTGTGCTGGGACCCAAGGCCAGAGTGCCAGGTCTCCTTGCTTCTCTTTTCCCCTCCCTTTCCGGGATTCTTTTTACTACACACATTTTACAATTTGACCCATAGGCTATGTATAATATTCTTCTGTTGTGCTCTGGTCACTTTTAGCATTTTTTTATTTTAACAATGTCAGAAACCTTAAAAGAGTACCTCAAGTTTTCTCCATTTCTAGAATTTTCAGGTTAGGGTCCACGATTTATTATAACATCAGTCTAACCGAGATTCTTTATTACATTGTACTGCCCTGGAAAAATTGTTGACTACATTATCTAGGTCTGATAAGCATTTCAGGCCTCCTTTGTTTTGCTCTTGAACTAAAGAGGGAATGCATCCAAGATTTTCCCATATGATGTCTGTGTGAGATTTTAGTTGAGGAGATTCTTTACCAGAAAAATTTAATCCAAAGTATGGCTTTCAAAATGTAAATGTAAAAAATTTTACAACTTTGAACACAGTTTGGGAAATATCTTCATTTCTATGAATGAGGTTTGGTAGGATTTATTAAATAAAATATAAATTCACATGCAATAAATAAAAGGTTTACATATTCTCCTATATTAACTAGCTTAATAATCAAAAAGGCAAATGTATTTGGGACATCAGTGTCCATGATACATTAATAAATTTTAGAAACAAAGATATAAAACTATGAAATGATCAACAGATATATTAACAAACACTTCACAGAAAAGTATATATGATGTCCAAATAACATATGACAAAATGTATAACCCCCTTAGTAATGAAGAAAACAAGTATTTAGCAATATTAAAATACTTCCTTAACTGCCAAGTGTTGGTAAATTCTTAGGGGAGTAGAAACTTCCATAACTGATTGTAAGAGGTGATTTTTCATTTTTTTCTCTAGTTGGTTTTGATGTTTTATTTTCTTGTAATTTTCCAATTTTGTGTAATTTTAAAATATGCTGGTATAGCTTTCATTGCACTCTCCTTTTGTTCTTAACTATTGACAGGAACTGTGTGTATTTTCTTTCAGTCTTTTTTTTTCTTTCATTCTTGATAATGCTTTAGTTTTGTTTCATCACTTATCAGTTAATGTTACAGGATAATTTTCAATTTCATTAATCATTTCAAAGAACCAGCCTTTGAGTTTTGGGAAAAAAAACCTCAACTATACCAATAATATTTCATTATTTTAACATTTTTATTTATTTTAAAGGCTTCAATCAATTTGATAAAAAATATTCACAATCATGTTCTAATATTAATCATATATCACACTTGGGATTGTACATAAGCCTTTAAATGTGCTATTAAATTCAGTTTCCTAGATTTTTTATTTTTGGAGAATTTTTCTTGATATTCATGAAAAACATTGGTCTATCATTTTCTTGTTTCTTGTCTGATTTTTAAACATAGTAATAGTGATTTCATAGACTGTGCTTGGAAGTATTCATTTTTCTTAAATTTGTTTGAAAGAATTTCAGGAGGCTTGGCATTAATTTTTCTTCTTTGATATTTGGTACATTTCTTCAGTGAAGCCATGTGGTTCTGGCTGATTCAATCCCAGTACTCACTACTGGTCTTTTTAAGTCTTCTGTTTCTTCATGACAGTCTTATTAGTTTGTGTGTTTCTAGAATTTTACCCATTTTCTGGGTTGATCAATTTTGGTGTGTATTCATTGTATTCTAGCTAAAGTTTTTCCAATTTTTTTCCTTTCCTCTATTTCATTTATGGCTGCTCTAATTATTATTTTCTTCCTTCTGCTGGAGAGGTAGCCCCTCCAATCACCCTCCCTCCACCCATCCACCCCTCTCCCCTCCCCCTCCCTCCACCCTCCCATATTCTAAGGCTATAATTAGGTTATAACATTCCTATGAAAGCTATACATTAGTTTCAAAATAGGGCTGTGTACATTGGATAATTTTTCTTCCATTCTTGAGATACCTTGCTAAGAAGAACATTTTTCAGTTCCATCCACGTAAACATGAAGGAGTTAAAGTCTCCATCTTTCTTTAGGGCTGCATAGTATTCCATGGTGTACATATACCACAATTCATTGATTCATTCGTGGGTCAATGGGCACTTGGGCTTCTTCCATGAGCAATTATGAATTGGGCTACAATAAACATTCTTATACAAATATCTTTCTTGTAATGTGATTTTTGGTCTTCTGGATATATACCTAGTAAAAGAATTGCAGGATCAAATGGCAGGTCTATTTTTAGTTCTCTCAGTGTTCTCCAGATATCTTTCCAAAAGGAATGAATTAATTTGCATTCCCACCAGCAGTGTAGAAGTGTTCCCTTTTCTCCACATCCACGCCAACATCTCTGATTTTGGATTTTGTGATATGGGCTAATCTTACTGGAATTAGATGATATCTCAAAGTAGTTTTGATTTGCATTTTTCTGATGATTAAGGATGGAGAGAATTTTTTCATATATCTGTAGGCCATGTACCTATCTTCTTTAGAGAAATTTCTCTTCAAGTCCCTTGCCCACCCTGAGATGGGATCACTTGTCTTTTTCTTGCCAATACGTTTGAGTTCTCTGTGGATTCTGGTTATTAAACCTTTGAGCAGCAAATATCTTCTCCCATTCTGAGGGCTGTCTACCTGCTTTATTTACTGTGTTCTGGGCTGTGCAGAAGATTTTTAGTTTGATCAGGTCCCCAAAGTGTATTTTTGATGTTGCTTCAATTGCCCAAGGGGTCCTCCTCATAAAAATTTTTGCCCAGGCCGATTTCTTAAAGAATTTTCCCTACACTTTCTTCTAGTATTTTTATAGTTTCATGTCTTAAGTTTAAATCTTTAATCCAGTGAGAGTCAATTTTAGTTAATGGTGAAAGGTGTGGGTCCAGTTTCAGTCTTCTACAGGTGGCCAGCCAGTTAGTCTAGCACCATTTGTTAAATAAGGAATCTTTTCCCCACTCAATGTGTTTAATTGTCAAAGATCAGGTAACGGTAGGTAGCTGGATTCATCTCTTGGCTCTCTATTCTGTTCCATCCATCTACCTCTCTGTTTTTGTGCCAGTACCATGCTGTTTTGTTTACTATTGATTTATAGTATAGTCTGAGGTCTGGTAACGTAATTGCTCCTGCTTTATTTTTGTTTCTGAGTAATAAAATACCTTTGCTATTCGAGGTTTTTTCTGATTCCAGATAAAATGAAGTATTATTTTTTCTAGATCTTTAAAGTATGACAAGAGAGTTTTAATGGGGATTGCATTAAAATTATATATTGCTTTGGGTAATATGGACATTTTAACAATGTTGATTCTTCCCAGCCATGAGCATTGTGTGTTTTTCCATTTGTTAACATTTTCAGCTATTTCTTTTCTTACAGTTTCATAGTTCTCTTTATAGAGCTCTTTCACATTC